CACTTGATCATTCTCACACACTCTTTCACGTGCATTAATGACAAATAAAACACATAGGGTGACGTGGATATGTACGCCCATTGGTATGTAGGCGAACACGCATACTCTTATACCATAAAAGAAGTTGAGGTTGCACTTCAAAACAAAGGAATTACCTTGTCTCCGCAATGGATAAGGATGGGTTCCTCCTTAAGTCGCTACAGATTCGATTTGATGGAACTTCATGTTTACAGATTAAATTCCTTTCACATTATAAAACACTTTTGAAACATCATCTTTGTAAAAAATTAATAAAATTTGAGATCGTTTAGTCATCAAACTGTATAAAAACTGATGGATGGATTCTATTTGCTACAATTGATTGACTAAACAATCTCAATTTTAATTGATGTTTTGTGAAGATGATCTTTACAGAGAACTAAATTTATAATATTAACGGTTCCAATTATAAATATAAAATTCTATAAATTCGTCACTAAACGAATTGAGAGGAAACTCTTCAATCTTGAAAATCCCATCATTGCTAAAAAAACAAATTGAAAATAAAAGAAATTATAAACTCCTGCAAGATTTTTATCCATCAACTCCGGCGCGCATGATCTCCACATCCTCACAAGTAGTTGGGTGCATTATATATAAAACAAAATTTCTATCCATCAATCCACAACTCCTTTAATTCTGTGCCTTAATATTAGCCAACACGGATTGCTTATTAATTCTGAATCCATTACTTTTAAAATTAGATGAATCCTCGAACCACAATTTTTATTTATTTACAAGAATACGTGTATATATATATATATGTATACATATATCATCACTGCAATCACATTCCAAGTTAGGTCAGCTTCAACATATATATATATATATATAATTACTGCAATCACATTCCAAGTTAGGCAGATCGAGCCATGAAATAGTCAATCATCCACAGCTTCAAAATAGAACCACTGATAGTATAAATGGAGATCTTCATCTTCGTATCTCTCAAAGCAAAAGTTTACTTGCATATATATTGGTCTTTAATATTTTCAATCAATTCAGCTGACCTTTGCCTAACTCAATATTTCTTAGGCTTTTTAGCCAAAATGGTTCTTGAGATTTGCATAACACATCACTTTGGTCCCTGAGATTGAAAATCAATATAAATGGTCTCTGAGATTGTCCACCATCAATTATTTTGGCAATTCTATTAAAAACTCCGTTAAGTGTCCGGAGCTCTTAGTCGGAAATTTGGACAATTTTCAAAACTTCGTATCTTAATCGTTTCTTAACCAAATTCAACCCATAATATATCAAAATGAAGATAGGAAAGTGTAGAGAAATATTATACCTATTTGGAAGCCCAATGGTTACCGGAGATGACTTGAAAATAGCCTGAAAGGTGACTGGTCCGTGGAAAAACTCGCTGGGAACTGGGTAAACTTTAAACGTTCATAACTTCTTCAATACTTAACGAAATTAAGTGATTCAAAAACGAAAATCATACTTCTCGATGAGACGAAGAGAAGGGAGCCAGTTTTGAGCCATTTTTCGGAAAAACCATGGCTAGTTAGCCTTCGATAAAAGTATTATTCTCTCGTCGAGAAGTATGATTTTCGTTTTTGAATCATTCAATTTCGTTGAGTATTGAAGAAGTTATGAACGTTTAAAATTTACCCAATTTCTGGCGAGTTTTCTCGTTTTTCTGCGGACCAGTCACTTTTCAAGCTATTTTCCAGCCATCTCCGTCAACCATTGGGCTTCCAAATAGATATAATTTTGTTCTACACTTTCCTATTTTCATTTTGATATATTATGGGTCGAATTTGGTTAAGAAACAATTGAGTTATGAAGTTTTGAAAATTGCCCAAACTTCCGGCCAAGAGCTCCGAGACACTTAACGGAAGAACCAAAATAATGGATGGTGGACAATCTCAATGACCATTTCTATTGATTTTCAATCTCAGTGACCAAAATGATGTGTTATGAAAATCTCAGAGACCATTTTGTATATGAAAAAGCCTATTTCTTATATAGTGATATAATTCTCTCATCCTGGCTTCTGGACCAACCCGTCCTTGCCACATATGTGTTTCTTTTCACTACCACATGTTGCAACGAAGGAAACCGGACCTACGTAAACAGTCAAACCCTAGAGATGATTAATTGAACGAATCCAGTTTTATTATTCTTGTTCTAAAATCAGGGCAATAATTTTCAAAAGAGAGAGATACCTTATTCGTGGTTGGTTTTGTGATCAGGTGCGGCAGTGTCCATTCTTTCATTCTTGGCACATACGTGGCATGATGTGTACACCCATGATTGGTCCATTTTTGAGGTGATCTGCATGATTGAAATACCTCAGACAAGCTAAGGGCATGCGTGTCCAGTCGTGGTTGGAAGTTTGGAATTGTTTCCTGAAAAGGAACCAGTTTCGTTAATTGTGCAAAAGTGGAGAGTGAACGTGGGCGTGCATGCATCAATATACAGATTGAGATTTTTATTTTTTGAGAAGAGAAAAATAAATAAATAGTCTGAGGAAACAAATACTTCAGAGACTAAAAAAAAAAAAAAAAAATCTAATAATTGGAAATATTTTAGCACCTCAAAATAGTGCTCAATCTCTCATTTCTCACTTATTTTGTTCGTTAGAAAAAACCGTAAGATTACTATTTAGAAGTGTTAACACAAGTTACATTATAATTCTACAATTTAAATGATTTTAGGTATGTTGGATTCGTCTACTTAGTCAACTGTAGAAAGTAAAACAAAGATATATAGGCCTTTTAAGTTGATTAAGATTCAAATTGGCAAAGAATGCGAGTTAATTAAGAGTCCCTCAACATGAGTGATCAAACAATTACATAAATCCAGATGGCCTCCAGAGTCAAACTCCATTAACCAATTGGTTTAGGTAGACAACATGAAATTATCATGATATTTTTGCTGATTTGATTTCAACCTTAGAAAGAACATAATATTTGACCTAGTCTTAAATTAAATATGGTGATTAATAGTTAAGAAACGAATAAGTCAATGTGACTTACTGAATTGCCATCAAAATGGAGCTATATTTGGACTAAATTGTAGACTCTTTGCAAGTATTATGTAGTGATCCCTATGAAATAGGGAAATGTTTTGGGGAGTGTGTCAGGAACACGAGGTGGTATTCCACATGTCATTATAGTAGAGGAAAACTTTATTTTTCAAGTTTACCACCACTTGTGTAATGACATATGATATACCACTCCGTGTTCTAGACACTTTAAAATGTCTCTATAAAATATCTGATCATATTAAATTAACATACATGTATCACTTGTACAAATTAAGCATTATTCAAGATTTTTATGAAATAAAGTCAAATCAGAATTCAAAAGGCAGCTTTTCATTTAACCATAAAGGAAAAATTACAAACGTTTAAAGGTTCATGTAGTTGAAATTGCACTAATCTTCTTATAAGAGAGGACAAATTAGCTTAATTAGATACATTAACAAATTCATTCAAAACTTTCTTTCACCTAATCACTAACCACTTAATGGCTTTAATCACTTCAACTTTTACATGCATCACCCTTGCAACAAGTTGGAACTTTGATTAATTAATATTATTGTTGCCAAGGAGGCATCGTATAGTAGTTTTTTTAACGAGAAAACTGTCATAATATGATCAATCTATCATTAATTAAGGGAGCAACTTGATCATATTTTACACGAACTCACTTAAATATGAATCTGAAATCTCGTTCGATGCTGTTACATTAGTATCTCTAGACAATGAACTAGTTGGCAAATAAATTAGGATTTCGATTACAAATAATGCAATTTGTAATATTTAACAGATTAAAAATCATTCAAGTCTTGACTACATGGCACAAATTTTAATTTTGATATTTGACTTATCCTAATTGTTATCATTTTTAGTGATAAATGCATGAAAGTATTTGCAGTGTCTGTTTGAACCGGAACATATCCCCTCTGGATCCGAACCATCCGGATCCTCCGGACCTCATAATCTTGGCCGTTCACATAAAATCGTGCGGCTGAGGTCACTCTTCCTCTTCAACCTTTCGCCATCTCTTTCTCTTCAACATCGTTGCCTTCTTCTTCAACGGCGATCAACGAAGCAAAATTGTAGAGCGAAAGAAGAAGAAAATGGGAAGGGGAGGGGGAGGGGGAGGGGGAGAGGGAAGTGAGTGATTGTAGGGAGGTCCGCTTGATCCGGATGGTTCGGATCCGAAGAACTATTCCCGTTTCGACCTCATCTTCATCTGTTTTTTTTTTTTTTTTTTTTTTGATATATGCTATGGAAAAAAGGTCTTTTTTGCGTGAATAAAGTGAGCTTTATCTAATTTTTGAGAGCTGGACACAGCAAAACTTCCGTAATCTTCTATGCATTCACACAGCTGGTATCACTATATTTGCATAAAATATGTATTTATTTTTGTGAATGCCCTAATTTTATTTTCAGCAAAAACAGATTATATTCCAATCTTCTTCTAAATGCTTCACACTTTATTTATTTATTTTTGTCACACTCTTTGTGACGTGTGCTGATGATTCAGGTATGCAAATACAAACAAACATCCAGTAACATCCGAGTCCTATCCACTCCTCACAATGAATATAATTGGTTGAATTAAAATATAGTACAATTTATTAAAAAACATACAATTAAAATTTTAATAACTTTTTAATTTGTCAAGTAAATTAATAATAAAATCAAAATAAAGTATTCACAAAACTGAAACATTGTAAATTGGTGAATCAAAACAGAGTTTTAAACCGTTAAGTTTTTGAACTTTTGATCAAATAAAAAAAATAAAAATCTTGACCTTTCATTATTCGATGCAGACCATACACCGTATGTCTGGAGCATAGTAAAATTTTTGTAAACTACAAAACCAAAACATATTAAATTGGTGGTAATGAAATCAAGACTACATGCATAGTATTTGGATGGGTTGTTTGTTTAAATGGTCAAATTTTTAAGATGGGGGGAGAATTATTACAGAAAAAGTTAAAGAAAAGCTAAAACGGCCTACCTAAGTTGCCTTCCATTCAACGTTTCTTGCTCTTCAAAAGCACCAGTGTTTAGGGGCTTCTGCTTCCCATAGTGCTTTTCTTTCTCTTAACGTCTGAATCCATCTTTCAGCTTATACAACAACTTGTTCCCATGGCTTCTTTTCTTTTATTCCTCTGTTTCCAATCACCCGTTCCTTTTCCTTAAGCTTTATTTCTCTTTTGCTCCTTAGAAAAGCACGTTTTGCATGAGTCTTTTCTGGTTCTGCTTTCTATATAAGGTGTTTTAAGATTTGGGAGTTGAAGCTGTTGGTTGGAAGAAGCCATAGAAGTTTGAGAGTTTGTGAGGAGGCTACCGAAGGTGGATTGCGAATCAAGGGTTTTAGACAAGAATCATTGGGGTTTTAGGGTATCATAAAAGGAAGAAATGGAAAACGTTCCAGCTGGGATTGTTGAGGAGGAGGATCATATCGATTTGCCGCCAGGATTCCGATTCCATCCAACCGATGAAGAGCTTATTTCTCACTACTTGCACAAGAAGGTGATCGATACCAGCTTCTCTTGTAAAGCAATTGGGGAGGTGGACTTGAACAAGTCGGAGCCTTGGGAATTGCCTTGTAAGCTTCCTAGAACAAAAACTTTAATTTTGTTTTGTTTCTTTAACATAATCCTTTTTTATCAAATTTGTTTGGATTTTGTTTGTTTCGATTTGATTTACTTTTTTTTGCCATTTTTCAAATGAAGGGAAAGCGAAAATGGGAGAAAAGAAGTGGTACTTTTTTTGTGTGAGAGACAGAAAGTACCCAACTGGTCTGAGGACAAACAGGGCGACAGAAGCCGGATACTGGAAAGCTACAGGGAAGGATAAGGAGATTTACAGAGGAAAATTTCTGGTTGGGATGAAGAAAACCTTGGTTTTCTACAAAGGAAGAGCTCCCAAAGGAGAAAAAAGTAACTGGGTGATCCATGAATATAGATTGGATGGTAAATTCTCTGTCCACAACCTCCCCAAAACTGCAAAGGTATAGTCATTCCCCTATTTTCTCCTGTTTTTTGGAGTTGGATCTCCCTGCAACGGGGATGTCACTGTGACGGTATCTCAATTCAAGCACGTGCTGCTCTATGAGAAAATTAAAACGCATGGCAGTGTGTAATTGACTTGGAATACTGCCTTAGTAACATCCCTGGTGTAGGTAAATTTCTCTCCGGATTTTGCTTTTTTAATTTGTTCATGTATTTTGATGGTAATGGTAGTTGTGCCTTTTTTTGTGTTGCACTATGCAGAATGAATGGGTGATCTGCAGGGTTTTTGAAAAGAATTCTGGTGGCAAGAAAATCCATATTTCTGGATTTGTGAGTGTGGGTTCTCTCGGAAATGAAATCGGTCCTTCTGGCTTACCGCCATTGATGGATTCTTCGCCCTATAGCGCCGCCAAGGCCAAACCTGCTTCCGAGTCCCATTACGTGCCCTGCTTCTCCAACCCTGATCCCACTGATGTTCAAAGAAACCAAGGGAATATTTTTGATTACATGAACAACAATACTCTCTTTGGTGTTTCTTCAAACACTTCCAACTCTTTCCCAATAATCCCATTTCCCAATTCATTCTACTCTGCTCATAATGCTCCAATTTCGCCGAATTTTCAGTTCCCGTGTTCAAATTTACTGCAAGATCAGTCCATCTTGCGGGCCTTGTTTGAAAACAATGCAGCAAACATGAGGCAGCATAGCTTCAAAACAGAGAGAGAAATGGTGAGTGTGTCCCAAGAAACCGGCCTCACAAGCGATATGAACACTGAAATCTCTTCAGTCATGTCAAATCTTGACATGTCAAGAAGGCCATTTGGTGATCAAGATCCTCCAGCTGCAGCAGCAGGCCTGGATAATTTTTGGAATTATTAATAATTTCAAACCAGCAAAATAAGGCTAATATATAGTTTTATTATTAAAAAAAAGAAGGAAAAAAAAAAGCAGCTTCAGCTAGTATTATTGGTGTGAGTTGATAGTGTACAGATATTCTGAATTTAAAGTGAATATTGAATGAAAGTGAAGCATATAATTATGTAATGCAAGAAATTATATGATGTATTTGTTTTTCTATTTAATTTTTGTGTAAAAACAATATTGGTGACATATGAGAATGAGATTCAGTTGGTGGTTATGATTTTATTCGTGTATTTTAGTCATTAAAAGTTTGTATCCTTTCTTAAAGTTTTCTGGATTTTAACAAATGCTTACATCACGATTTTATAATCTAATTTTATTTAAACTACGGAAGAAAGATTTTAATTTGAACACAATAAATGAGCATACTACCCTAATTAACTTCGCTGCATCGAATCAAGATTTGAACTTAAATATAAATAAATAAGTATATTGCCCTAATTAACTTCGCTACATCGAATCTCCCTATTGAGTTTTAGTATTCTATTCCATTAGTTTATGGTGGGGACTCAGATAAGTATGCTATTGAAAATTTCATTGTCTTTCTTTCAACCTCTCTCCTTCTCTCTATCACACACACACACACACACACACATGTGCATGTCACACTCAAACACAACCGTGGTATTTATAAAATTAAAATGTTAGTTATCCAGGTAAAATCATTGGACTAAGGCTTGACATAAAGTAATTCTGTCATTTTATAAACTATAACTTTCGTTGATTAATTAACTTTGACTTGCATGCTATGAAATTTGAATTCATATATTTTGTGATGTTGAAATGCCAAAAATCCTAATCCTCTATTTTATTGACCATGTTTTCTAAACAACTTCATTAGAAAATAAAGCATAATCAGTTCATAAACAAAATTTGGGATGTTTATATATAGTGCTATTACTACATGTCTCAATTTTTGATCGTCGAATCGAATGAAATAAAGAAGATTAATGGCAAAAAATTAACAAGGGTGTGTGGAAGGTAAAAATGTGTGTGTCAATAGAATAGCACTTCTCTATATATATTCACATAATCATTTTTACCTCCCACATACCTTTGTTAAGTTTTTGTTATTGATTTTCTTCAACTCATTCGATAGCTGAAAATTGAGAAGAATGTGTGAAAAGTAAAAAAGAGTGTAGATAGCACTACCCAATATATTATTGTTGAACTGCTAATTTGAAACACACATTTTAAACAAAAATTCCTCTAATACGTAATTTAGGTTGATAATGTGACAACAAAGGATAAAGTACGATTTTTAGTCAAAATGATCTATGAGATTGAGATAACTTCTTACTTTTGTCCCTTATAAAGAAAATTGATAAATAGAGTGGTCCATGAATTTGTCTAACGTGAATCATTATGGTTTTTCCTTGAAAAATCTATCAACATCTTTGTTAAGTGAAGGGGTTGGTTTGACAAAAATATCCTTAAAAAGGTAGTCACGTGGTCGTTCACGTGACAATTTAATGAGAATATTTACATATTTTTCATGAAATGACCATAATGATTTATGGTTGACAAAGTAAAAAGTTATCTCAATCTCATGAACTATTTTAGCTAAGAAGGCAATAACCATGTCAAATTGTTTGGTGAAAGAACAATAGTCCTCTTAATTAGTCGGTGATTAAGAGATGTTGAATTATTAATTCCATGACTATTTGACTAATCGAATTTCTTACTTTCTTGCTCAAGAGATATTGAACCAAACCGCAGGAAATATGCAATTAAATGAAGTATTGAACTGACATATATTGCTAGAGAACAAACTTACTCACTACCCTTAATTATTATGGATTACCACCAAGTCATAGTTGAATGAGTGAGATTTAATTTACCCGCACCTGAACTTTGAAATTTAAATTCACCGAATGCACATAATGTAATGGTAGCTCACTCCCAAATTAGAGACGATGAACAAATTTATTCTACGTATTAAAATCATGGAAGTCTAGTGGAAAATGGACATTTGAGAAACTATTGTAGCTCGTTTACAAATGCTTTTTAAATGACTGAAAGCGTTTTTTGTGGAAATGCTTTTGAAACTAATTCTTAGTTAAAATCCAAGTGGATTCTTAAAAAACACTTTAAGTGCTTCCTATAAGAAGCATATATTTGATGTTTCTTAAAAAAATCATTTAAAGTGATTTTAAATGTTTTGAAATCCAACATCAATTTCACCAAACACACTTTTAATTATTTTAAAAATACTTATGAACCACCCCCTTAATTATGAGAGTTCTAACAAAAAGCCCGCGGTACTGTTCACTTTAACGAAAAACCAAATTTTTACACTAAAAAGTCAAACATGGTACTATTCATTTTACCTTTTATTTTGTCCTCATCATTAAAACTCAAAGTTTTCAAGTCATTTTCATTAATTTTCCTTTTAATTATAGGAAAATAAAAAGGAAAACAGCTGTCCAGATTCATCAAGTTCTTATCTCAGGATAAGAATTCTAAAAAATCCAGAAAAAGTCTTGTCACAAATATATTTTTTGGTAACAAAATCTTATTATAATAATATGAAGGAAAACTAGGTCTTATGTAAATATTTATTATCTTTCATTTTCGTGGAGTCTTTCAACCGCAGAATTCGTTAATATTGGACTATTCGCATCTTCAAATCTGTCTTTTCTAATATTTTATGAATTGTGATGCATGCAATCCGTTTATCAAGCTGTAAACCCTGACGTATTAAGGTACGAGCATTTACCATTATTATTTATTTAATTATTTATTTATTATTAAGTAATATTTTTGTAACATGTGAAGTTTTATTTTTATCACATATGCACGAGCAAATCTCCAACAACGAATGAATTTGAGTCCTGCACGACAAGTTTCATTCTCATCAGTAAACTTGTATTTTTATCTATAAAAAATGGAGCTATTCCCAAAAGTAATCACCCAATAGAATCAAGTTCCCCCATATACCGAACAATATTTTCTCAGGCTACCCTTCATCGACACAATGTTATTATCTATACTTTCAAAGTGTCACATAAACTCATTATCCAAATATATTAATTAACACGGAGTGGTTCAATAGTTGATGACGAATTTCAGACTCGTATTCTATACGGCACGTCCTGAGTCGATTTTTGACTTTGGTAAATCACATAATGGTAGTCAAGGGAGGCTGAAATGCCTCTGTGAGTTTTTTCTGTCCCAAAAAAGTGGATTGGTATGGTGAAACCACCATCTAGCCCCTTTTAGAAAAACATAGGCCTATTGAATTGGATTATTATCATTCATGTGGTTAAACATTTTATATATACACATCAAGTATTGAGCTCCTATAAGAAATATAATCTTTAGGGCCTAAATTAAAATGGATTTGTCTAGCCCATTGTTTGTTATGTCAAAATGTGAGATGGATGAGATTGGATATAATGAGTTATGAATATAGAGTAGGTTATCTAACCTATGGATATGCATAGGTTACAAGTCCTGCCTAACCAATCCCAGCAAATCCAATCATATCCCTAAAGTCAAATCTCATCCAGCATACTAAACATGCCCTTAAAGAACAAGAAATTTAAATTACAATTAATTACAGTACTTGTGGGGCAAGATATCGCAACTAGAATTGTATGTGTGTATTTTGTTTTCTAGATCTAGACGTGGATCTAGCCACAAAAATTGAGGTGTATTAAGCCTTCTTGGTGGTAAGGTTTGCGACGAGATTAAACTAAGGATTAATATATTATTGGAGATATTTTCAAATATAGAATCACATGTAGCATATTCCAGTTAAAATTACCATACTTATACCAATGAAAAAAAAAGGAACCTTGGCATCTCTTCGTATTCTTAATGTGTATTAAGGGAAATATTTCTATATTTTTATGTTAGCTAACCTAGTTTTTTTAGATCGAATATATTTGATTGTTAATTTTTAATTAGTTTGTCTACCAAACATCTGATAATTGAACCTTGTGACAGTGAACCCATATTTCTAGGGCATTTTGTTCCATGCCACCTAGGCTCTATTTTCTAATTGTGTACATCATGTATGGGGTGGTGGTTTTTTCTTCATGAAAGTATTTTGGGTGCGTTTGTTGCACTGAATTATCTTGAGCTGAACTTGCTTTAGGGACTAAGCTAGACTGATTTAGAATAGAATAAGTTAGACTAACTTAATGAAACGTTTGGTACAGTGTCAGATTAAGAAACGAGACTAACTTCTAATTCTAGATCAATTCTAGCCTTCCAATTAAATTAACAATTTTCCTCTATCTTTGCACAAAATTTTCCACAAATTTCTTGAAGATTTCAATATTCAAACAAGAACAAATTTGTGTAGAAGATAATAATGAAGCAGGGATAAAAAAACATTGACAAACATTTCTATCATTGCCGTTCGCTGGAAACCTCAATCTTTAAATTGATGGAGAGATTAGCCAATCTTAAGTGGCATCTCTTTTGCGCAGGACAATCAGTTACCTAGATTTTGTTCAGACAAGGAAATGCCCGAGATTAGGCACCGAAATCAGCAACTTCACGAAGCTGCAGACAAAAAGAAGAACAAGAATTGAATTTAATATCCATTAAGATTTAGAATCCAGTCATACAATTTCTGCTTCTTCAAAGTTATAAACTTTTGATTGAATTTGTTTTGAATCAGAAAAAGAAGAAGAGGAGGTGGAAGTGATAACCTTGAGTCGAAGATAGGCTGGACTGGAGAAATAGAGCTTGTTCTTTGCCGTCGATCGAGCAAGGCGAGGAGTCGAGCGGGACGACGCAAGAGAGAGGTAGTCTTAGCAGTCCGCTGGTATTTTGGGGGCTTCGCTAAGACCAGCTAGCAAGCTCCTTAGTCCATGCGAGTTTAATCCCACTAAAGCTAGTCCTTTCCTTTAACAAACATGGGACTACACTAATTCTTAATCTAGTCAAGTCCAGTGAGACCTAGTGAAGGCAAACAAATAGGTTGAGTAAAAAACTTATTTAAATTTAAGGGCTTAAATAAGATTAGTTTTTTTATTATAACCTGTATGGTTTTACAAATCTGATTTTACGTCCAAAATTTATAATTCATTACCGCATCATGTTCAATACATTTGCCCATGTTTATTACTTTTGAATTTTTCCATCTAGAATTCAGTACTTAATCAAATCAAATTCAGCAATTTAAATTGGAAGATTTTAAATGAACATTATTAATGAGAAACTATATATAGCATACAGATACAATCAACTATAAAATATTTATAAGTACATAAATATATACATATATATATATATATGTTAATGTGTATAGTAGTTTAGGTAAACAAAGTATATACATAGGTGCAATATATCTGTACATAAATATATACAGGTTCATATGTATAGGTACTCAACTATATGTGAAAAAAGAAGTGTAGAGATAAAAAGAGGATCTTAGATTGGTTCCCAAAAAAAAAAAAAGATCTTATACAAAAATATTGCAATGTATATCATTACTATGGTACCGGTATACACGTTAATGTAATTATTTATCGAATTTGAATACAAATTAAAGTAAAAATCTTCTTTCATTTCATACTCATTTTTTTTTTAACAAACAATATTATTTACACTAAAGGAGAGAAGGGTGGGTGAAGCCTCACAATATGCTAACAATAATGCGGTTCAAATTTGGCTTTGCGAGAATCGAACATAAGATTTCTAACTTATAAATGAAGATGAATACTATTAGACTGTAATAATACATGACTTTTTATACACAAAACTAAACAAACCAAAAGTCAATAACACTAGTAGCTAGATTTTAGGTGGTATATAGAAAAAGTTGAGTTGGATATAAAAGCAAAGGACCAAAATCAATATTTAATCTTATCCATAACTTTTGTGAAAAAAAAGAAGATCTTAATTAAGGATTATAAGCCTCTTGCCACACAATTACCTATGTGATTTGATATTTTGATATCTTCTTTGGAGTTTCGGTCCCTTTACCTAGATATAATATAGATAAACTCATTTCATGTAATAAAAAACTGCCATGGGAAACAACGTTGGCAGAATATCATGGTAAATTCTTGAAGAACACAGCAGGTATTTGTGTCAATCTAAAACTTGAAGCGCGTCACCAGGTAGCCCTCAATACAACGGTTTCCGCCACTATAAGTGCGTCACGTGGCATTAGGTGTTGTGCGGCAGTCTAACAGTACTCTTCGGCCATTTAGTACTGCAATTTAGTTGTATTTTTCTTTATTTATAAGAGGAATGTTTTATGTTTGATTCTCATCAAAGATGAATTTGAATCACATTATTACTAGTTCATTATGAGGCTAAATTCACCTCATCCCCGTTAGTGTAGATAATATCATTTACTCTCCTGAATTCATCACAATCCCCCAACCCCCATCACACACTCAAAACAAAATTGTATATATAGTATTTAGATGTGTAATGGTATAAATTAATTAATTTTCTTTGCTTTCCATTTTTTAAAATAAAAAGTTAGGTGTCCCATACCTAAACTACGTATTAATAGAACTCTAATTATCGACTAAAATCTCAAGAAATTATCATTCTAACACTCTAATTAAAACTGAACAGAAATAAAAATTATAGGCAATTTAGTAATTACAACAACACAATTTTTTTATTTTATTAAAGCATCCGACACATGTGATATATTAAAAAATAAAAAATAAAATAAAAGCATCTCTCCCCTCTCTCCCAACTGGAAATCTGCAAATCTGCACTGGAAGAAATCTGCAAATGAATACGAACTGGAACAAATCTGCAAATGAAAACGAAAATTACAATATAAAATCCCAAATCCCAACAAATCTGCAAAGATTATAACATGCAAAATCCCAACTAATAATTAAAAGAAAAACCCATTTTAATTCAGTAAATCACAATATAAAATCCCAACAAATCTGCAAATGAATACGAAAATTACAATATAAATTCCCAACAAATCTGCAAAGATTATAACATGCAAATCCCAACAAATAATGAAAAGAAAAACCCATTTTAATTCAGTAAATCACAATATAAAATTATAAATCATATTAGTTTTGATTCGAAAATTACCTGTGAGAGATCGGAAAACCCGGATTCGAATCTTCCAATTTAGAGGGGGTTCTGATTCGAAAGGGGCGAGGGAAAATCATGGTTTGGAAGAAGAAATCCGTGAGGACATGAGAAGACTGGAGAGAGAGTGATTTGGAGGAAGAGAGGAAGGAGAGAGAGAGAGAGAGAGAGAGAGAGAGAGAGAGGGGCTGAGGAAGCAAAAGGCAGAGAGAGGACGCAGCGGAGGAGTGTTTGAAATCTGAAATGGGAAGTGAGATAAAGTGTGAGACGGCTAGGGTTTGTAAAGTTTAAGAAATTTTATAAAGCATTAAATACAAGAAGCCTATAAATATTGTACTGGTACAATAATAACAACTCAAAGCCCACAGTCAAGTTGGCTTGCAGCAACTAATCCTAAGCTATAGGGAAGGGGTTCAAACCCCGGCGCCTACATGTCTTTTTAGAATTTATATATGATTTTTTTTTTCGGTTCGGTTCGGTCCGGTTCGGTTTCCGGACCTCAAAAACCGAAACCGAACCAACCAGATTCGGTTCGGTTTGGCAGTTTCGGTTCGGTTTTTTTTCGGTTCGGTTTTTTTCGGCTTCGGTTCGGTTTGGTTTTCGGTTTTTTTCGGTTTTCGGTTTTTTGAACCCACCCCTAACTCCCATGTTCTCACACACTCTCTCCCTCTCTTTCTCTCCTCATTTAAAAAAAAAAAATATTTAGACACACAATAGGCATATGCTAGTTATTATTTATCAAGTCATGATGTTAATTATATTCCTAATATTGATCAATTTTATTATGTCGTACACTTAAACGGTAAGAGTTGAATTAGTTCATATATGGTTACGTTGTCTACAAACTCTTGGTTAGTTGGACAAAAATTGGTCACCACATAGACTATCATAAATATGGTAAGGACTTCTGGATGGAAAAAAATTGTAAAAGTGATTAGGGATGAATGGCAAAAAAAAAATGCAGTAATTTATTTGGATAGTATTATTCACGCACATATTTTTACCTCTCACACAGCCCTCTCAATTTCTAGCCGTCCGATCAAATGATTTAAAGAAGAATAACAAAAAATTAACAAAGGTGTATAGAATATAAAAATGACTACGTGAATAACACTATTTATTTATTTTTGGTACATAAAATGGGTGATATATGCCCTATTGGGTTCTCAAAATAGTAACCAGTTTGTGATGTGGTTAATGGGGGAATGAATTTGGAGACGATTTACGGTTGGTTCGGATAGGGTATGATGTGGGTTGATCTCATCCTTATTAACCTTTTATGTAAAGTCCAGTGTTTTGCTCCAAGGCTAGATAAAGAATTAGAGATAAGATGGAGGCTTTCGTACTATTTATGCTTTGGTTTACTTTTTAAGAACGGGTTTGGAGTCATTATTCTTTTCTGTTTTGTTTCAAATTTCACTGCCTTAATATTTGCTGTTTTTGTGAAAATTGCGATTGGCAATTGTTCTAACGTTCACAATAGAAGGCCTAAGTTGAAATGCAAAATTATAGCCCACATTTTGCTAATTTAACTGCATGAGCCAACCCAAAACCCTAGTAGGGATATGGAGCATATTTGTTGGGTTTGGCATGTTTGACAGTGTTGCTTTCACTTGGTTAAAAAAGTCAACATATTTTTGGATGGGTTTGGTTCAATATTTTTTATTTTATTGCATAATTTCACAAAAGAAGTAACCATCGTCGTAGAAAAAAACATAAACTAAAAAACAAAAAATAATTACAATAATAATGCAACCCGAAACTTTGATTAACCACCATTGGATGACCTAGTGGTTAGAGATGAATTCCATGCCTGTATTTTATATGGCACGTCATGTGACGGATTCCTAGTTCTGGTAAATCATACGATGGTGGACAAGGGGTGGCTGAAATGCCTTTGTGAGTCTTTCTGGTCCTCGGAAGGATGGACAGTCATGGTGAAGCCACCAACTAGTTCTTTTATTTTTTTTTTTAAATTTGATTTTTATTTTTCCATAATTCTTATTCTTGTGATCATTTAAATAAGCATAGATGGAATCACTTAAACAAATACTGAAATGAAACCCTTTTTAATAATGTGGCTAACAATTTAATTGTGTATGTGGAGTCTGCCTTTAACACTTGCAAGTATTTATTATAATTATCATGATGTATTTGTATTAAATTTATATACGTTTTGTAGTCAAATCCGTTACAAATTTTCATGGTTATATTTTAGTGATTACCATCAACTGAAGTCCATTTAAAGGAACTAACCCATTTCATTTTTTGTTTCATTTTCTTTTAGAGGATTAAGATAACTCAACCATTAAAGGAATGTCTGGTACGTGCATGTCACGGTCAAAGAATGCAACAAACGACCTCAAAACATTGCGTTAATGAACTCTTCAACTGAGAATGCATGGGCAGGTAGCCACATACATATTATCATACTTCAACAACATGGATCAAGCATTAATCAATTAGTAGTTAAGCCTATTCACTAATCCCCTCAAGAACAAAGGGTTGAGTTTCTTTTCAAAAGATTTCATAATTAACTTTAGAAACTTTGGTTTAGGTCAATGAATAATTTCTTATTTCAATATATGTCAATTGTCATTTATTTACTAGCATATATAGGTCAATAGAAACAATTACTCCCAAAAATAGCTTTGCATTTCTCTTTATTGGGTAAGTGCGATTATGTCTATGTTTATGAGAGAGAGATGGTGCGAGAATTACTTGACACACAAATTAAACCCTCTTTTTGACAATTGTAGTATAGATGTAAGTAGGGTATCGTTCTAGGCCGGGGATTAGGAGGGATTGCTAATCTATTCTAAATTAATTTAAAAATATTAAATAAGACTCAAGGACACAAAACTAGGCTAAAACTCTAATAACTCGAAACACACTTAGGATAACTCAAAATAATGAAAACAATCAAATTAGACACTAGGAACTGCAATGGATGGAAATTAAATTAAAAGACTAACAATAAAGAAAACTAAATAAATAATATAATTTAATAATGGATGGGTGTTTGGTTTTGATGAAAAGTAAATTAAACTTAATTAAATTACAGAATTGACAAAAACATAAAATTAAGGTAAAATGATAAATGACGGACTAGCTAGAGGGTTCTTCTCCACACATGTTATACTTGCATACAAAATGATTTCCAGTTGTTCATTTAATAAATTTTGAATCTCAATACTCCAGATTAACATTGAATAGCACTTTTTTAATCTTCAAGTTTTCCTTAAGTTATTGAATTGGACGGAAAAACGCATACAACAATTCAAAACATTCTTCAAAAGTCCCCTACGTGAAAAGCACAATAGCGATACAATCAAAGATCATTAAACTTTGTGAAAACTATAAGCATTGACGAGGCATTCGTAACTATGAAAAGCATGATACTCTTGCCAAGAATTTACTTAACGTGATTGTGACTAGCAACCTTTACTACTTGTGAAAATAAGTTCATAACGATTAGGTGAAATTCACTTATATTCTAGCATCAAATTCATGCATGTAAATTAAGCGTGCACTCTCAACCAACATACACAAATCAGTTTTTATACGAACGGATAAGTAAATTGAAATCACAACTTATGAAATCACAACTGAAGGTAATCAATTCATATTACAAATATATTCATGGTTTCGAATTAACCTCTAGCCAAAATAAATTTAATTACACATTATTAAAACAAAAATAAAATAGAAGTTTGGAAAGAGTTAACCGAGAAAATAGATTGAAGCCTTCTGCTCTCTGTGCTCTGATGCTTCTTCTGCTGTGCTTCTCATCTCCCTCCCGCTGCCTCTCACTCCTCTCTTCTCTGACTTTTCTTCTGCTGCCAAGGCAGCCTCTCCTCGCGGACTCCCCTTGCTTGCGTCTGTCTCCCTTTGCTATTCTTTGCGCCACCTGGACTCCTTCCTTTCCGCCTTCTTTCCAGCTGCCAAAGGCAGCTTTGCTGCTTCTCTCTCTGACCTCCCCTTTCGTCCTCACAAACTCTCCTTTTGCCAGCTGCCAAGGGCAGCTGTTATTATTCCATACCCCTGCTGTCTCCCCGTGTTCTGTCCCCCATGTTCTCTACTATTTTATTCTTTTGATCTCTGCACATGCCCTTCACGTTCCTTTCCGCCTTTTCTATTCTTTTATTCTTTCTTTTCTGCTGTCCTCCTGCCTTTCTTCTTATTTTATATTTTCTTTTCCTTGCTGGTTTCATGCTTTGCAAACATCATAATAATGAGAGGGACAAACATTGTTTATAAAATGTAAATTAGTATTATCATGTGACAATAAAAGGTAAATTTGCATAACAGATCCTATAAACACAAAAATAACGTAAATAGCTCAAAAATATAAGGAACTAACTAAGAAAAGACGAGTGAATTCGAAGTAAAAATATATATAAATATGATCCGATCAAATACCCCCACACTTAACTTTTGTTAGTCCTCGAGCAAAACAAAGAAAACAAGAACAAGAAGTAACAAGAAAAACATTAGCTTCCCTCTATGTGACCCTCATAGAAATTTATTTAAGAAAACAAATCATCAAGAACCGTAGCTAGCATCAAGGAACTAATCCAAGTTCATCTTCCTTATTCAAATATTAGCAGTAATCTTTGAATCATCCTTGAAGTGTAGTGTGTGAGATAGCCATGCTAATGCAATTTCAAGTTTTTATTCTTAAAATCATCATATGCAAACTAGTGACATTCTCACTGAATATTCACTCAATCACACATGTGTTTAGTTTTAATGTGTTTCGCTCAAAGAAACAAATGTGAAATTTCTACCATAAGCTTGCATAAAGATCACTTCTCCACAGTCATAATTGCAAAACTTAAATCAAGAGGACTTTTATTGGATGTAATGAGGCTTAGGGATAGGGTTATTGAAACGAAAGAATAGGAAAACACAAGTTCCAAGCTACATTTCAAGCAATTCTTTTCTTTAGATTTATAAGAACTCAAGCTCTCCAGCAATTCTTCTAGCACCTCCAACCATACTCTTAAACTGAACTTTAAAAACTTTTTATTTTCTTTTTATACAATCTTTCTTCTTTTTTTTTTTTTTTTTTTTTTTTTTTTTAATCACAAAACATGAAATACCCCCACACTTATTCTTTTGCCAAACATCTTCACAGTACTTCACAAACGTTTCTCATAAGACAATTTCGCATTGCTCACTTGGAAAGGGTAAGGAAAAATGTTTCAGGTATAAGGGTAGACATATCTGGTGATAAGAAATAAAAGCTCAACATACACGGCTCAAATTG